CTGCTAATACTACACTGCCGCTGCTGCTGCTACTACTACTACTACTACTACTACTACTACTACTACTACTACTACTACTACTACTTTTTACTACTTTTTACTACTACTACTTTTTACTACTACTACTACTACTACTACTACTACTACTACTACTGCTACTACTACTACTTTTTACTACTACTACTTTTTACTACTACTACTACTACTACTACTACTACTACTACTACTACTACTACTAGCTACCAGAACTACTACTACTACTAGAACTTCAACTGCTACTACTACTACTAGAACTACAACTGCTACTACTACTACTAGAACTACGACTGCCACTACTACTACTAGAACTTCGACTACTATTAGTAGTAGTAGTAGTAGTAGTAGTAGTAGTAGTAGTAGTAGTACTACTACTACTACTACTACTACTACTACTACTACTACTACCACTACTACTACTACTACTACTACTAGAAATACAAGAACAACTACTACATCAACAATGACATACTGGTGCGACTACTATTACCACCACCGCAACTGCTCAACCACCTCTTCCTTCTCGTGTTTTCTTTGTACCGCTACTACTATTACTACTTTTATTAACTGCTACTACGATTACTATTACTACTGTACTACAACTACTATCACCACTACTAGTGCTACTACTATTATTCAATGCCTGTTGCTGCTGCTGTGGCCGTTGCTAGCATTAGTACTACACAGAGGGTGGTGCCTGGCATTGAGGTTTAGGGATGATCGCAGTTCCACACGTCCTGGTAAAGAAGGGTTTCTTTTGTTGAGCAAGTGAATTCAACAAACGAACAGCTAATCAGGGGACAGATTTTGACTGCCATCGGCAGTTCAGATTACTTTGGTACAACGATGCCCGTATTGTCCAACTAGTGGAGTCCCTGCACCCTATAGACAAATGTAACTTGGGCATGGCCTTGGTGTCCAGGCTGGTCTTTGTAGGGGCATCTGCCATAGGTAAATCAAATTACTGTCGAACAGCGGTACCCTATTGTTCAACAACTGAATGTGAAGTCCTTGCACCCTATAGGGGGCATGGGATTGGTGTTCAGGTTGGTTTTTGTAGGGGCATCTGCTGAGCTTGGTATGTGACCATGAGCAACTACAGTAGGTATTCTGCCCCTCCGAGCCTCCTTTTGCTGGAGGTGGATTTCCCCTGCACACCAAGCTTTGCTGAAACCAGTACGGCGTTTTCTTTTTTCTTTACCTTTTGGCTGGTGCCACTAGCCATTCCGATCTGGTAGCCCCGAGCTTCCGAAATTTTCGGATTGCCTCGATTTTGATTCCCAAGTTTGCCTTGGTTAGGTACAGATGGTTTAAAATTTGCTCAAGTGTTTAGAACAGTAATTTGGTTAACTTTCAGTTTTTTTACTTTTCAGTGTTCAGGGACGCTCAGGTCCCTGAACTCTCCTCTCTCTCTCTCTCTCTCTCTCTCTCTCTCTCTCTCTCTCTCTCTCTCTC